TCCTGTTAAGTATGTTGAAGTATTATCAACACCAGTGTGCTCCTCTTTCCTCAAACAATATGATATGTATCAGAAATTAACACAGGATTGCATATTTAAGTGTTTTCTTCAATTCTTTCTACCGTGCCAAGAAGACATATAAAAGAGTTAGGTTTTTTCTTCTTTCTCCTTGTCCTTTTCAGAAATACAAGGGAAGCCAAGTCAGGTTCTGTATAAACTCTCTAATGATTTCCACAGCACTTTGAAATTAAACTTGCTTTCTTTTTGCATGTGTATTGTAATGCCACTGAGGCTTCTACCGGGTTTCCGTAGATTTTTCCAGGATGTGCAAGAGCTGATCTTCTACCATAAGAAGGTGCAAAGAAAGAACTCTTTCATTAACACCAGAGTAATTCAGCAGAAGACTCTGCACTTACAAGTCACATTGCTTGAAGAAAGAAATCAAAACTTTTTGCTGCTTGCTCCAAGATCAGGGAGCTAGAGGAAGTTAGTGCACAATCTGTTGTAACACATTCTAGTGTTACAGCTGCTTAGACGGTATGCTTTTTAGTAATACATGGAAATAGTTCTTGCAGGAGTAAAGTGACAGCTCCCTGGCTTGTATGCCAAAATCTGTTCTTTTTTCTTTTTTTAAAAAAGGTCTAAATATTGTACTGAGTACATCAGTTGCTGAAAAGATGTGTCTTTCAGAGAAGGTAAATTACTAAATATTTTCAAAGAAGCAAATTAAAATCTCTCTGCTTGTTATTTCTTTATATTGTCAATAACTAATGGACTCTGGGAGGAGGTATGCTGAATAAAATAAGATAAATTGAATTTTAAAAATGTAGTCAAAGACTAGACAGTTTTCTCCATTAACTAGTATGTAGATTCTCTTCGCTGTGGTTCCTGCCCCTTTTTATGTCTAACTGTGCTGAGCATATATTAAAAATATTTAATACGATCCTTTTTGCCTGCATCACTGAGCCTGTAATACAAATAATGGAATTAGTAGAAGAGTTAGAGCTGCTTCTTGTTTGCCTGAAACTTGGGTTGGGAGCTGTTTCACCACCACCACCGCCTGCCCCCAGGAGAGGATCATCTAATTGTCCTAACCCTTTCTCCACCCACCAAAACCAGTCATTTATGCAAAGTGGGACAGTTTCCTATGGGATCTCCTGTAGGAATTTGAAAACAGTCTCATTGAATATTTTACTGTCTGCCTAGTGTTGCTGACAGAGTAACTATCTCTTCTTTGAGGACTAGAAAAATAGAACTTCACTCTAGGCATTTTGCCTAAATAAGTTTGTTTCAATACAAGGCTGGCTAAACAGCTATATAGATAATGCTCTATTTTTTTTTTTTTTTATAGGCTTCTCACAAGCTGCATGCAGGTTTGTATGTTAGTCCAAAGATCACACAAAAGACAGCAGCAGTGAAGGAAGACAAATAAAACAGCACTGGGGTTTAAAAGAAGTTTGTTGATTCCAAATCATCCATCAGCAGACAGAATGCATAATAAAAAGTGCATGGGTTCTGATGTGTAAAGAGTGGCTGATAAGTGGGGAACAACTCAATTTTCTTTAAACTGATTCCAGGCTGCATTTTAGAGAGTGTCCTGTTGTTTGCCCCAGGTTTCTGTTTCCCCCGTACCTCATGAATAAACATACCCTTCAAGGGCTGGTGGTCACTCTGCTATTGGCAATACTAACTTCCACTTTCCCAGAAGGGCATGTGTATTTGGGGAAGAAAGACGCGGACTGTGTCATCTGCTGACTCGTGGTTTAATCTTTATTTTGCACTTCCAGCTGATAAGACCACTTTGTGGAAAAGTAATACAGGAAATGATGCACTGCAAAAACCAAGAGTGGCAGAAAGGGAAACAGAATGTACTGGCAAGGGCTCAGCACTGTGGACGCGTTCTCTGCTTCTTGGAAACGAAAAACTCCACCTACGCTGCCTTTTGGGTTTTTTTTTAGCGTAATACTGGTATTGGAGCTTAGTGTGAGTAGTAGACAGCAGCCTGTGGTTTTTCTCCCCCTTTGTCTTGTGGCTTGTTCAGGGCTTGGAGTGTACGTAGACTGTTCGGGCAGGCAGGACTTCAACAGGAGTCCCTGGGCTGGAGGCTGGTGGCCAGCTAAGTCCTGCTGAGCTGCATTACTTCCAAGCATATCTGCAAGTACTATACCTAATGCTACTCCTCCAGCTCCCGGCATGTTTCTTGCCACAGTTGTTGCTACAGAGATGCCAGCTGTTAAGATAATACCTTTGACTGAGATGGTGAAATATGTTTTGGAGTGTATGATTGTGGGACGTGTATTGCAGGATTTGATCCAAAAACTTTGGAAAATCTGTTCCTATGGTCTGACTACTTGGGGCTGTATCTGAATGTCATCTTAGTCTTTGCAGAGCTTGTGTAGTAGCTTGTTTTAGGTTTGTACTTTCAGGTGCTGGTATAAACATACTGTCTTAATAGACAGGACTTTTTTTTCTTTTTCACAGCAAGTAGGTTGGCCACTTATTTTTAAAGTAGCTTTGTGGAAATGGGTCAGGCCTAGGTAGAACCATGTCTGCATTCATTATCAATGTTGAAAGAAGTTTGGATCAAGGTTTAGACTTTGTACATTCTTTTTTATTAGAACTTAAGCTCAAGTCTTTTAAATATTTTTTTTGTTTAATTCAGCTGGATGTGAAGTAGAAAGCTTGACTTCATTACTTGGTGAGATAACACTAGATCTTGTAACTTTTGTGTGTGGATCTTTTGTTTGAAAGATACAGAAAAAAGGTATTTAGAATATTGATTGAGATACAGACTATGAGTTGAGAATAACTGTTACTTACAAATACATTTGAAGCATATGTACTGGGGTTCTGATGATATGGTTGGTTCTTAAATTAGCACAGCATTTGAATAGAGCATTTTACGGTGCGTGTAAGGATAAAGTATACCTGGAGTACAGTCAGTGACAGTAATGAAGTTTCAGTTCATATAATAGTATAGCAGGTAACACAATAAATTCTTAAATTTGCCCTAGGCTCATGCAAATCTTCCATTGCATTGACATTATTATTTCAAATATAATTCTTAGCATAAAAGGAATGGGACATACCAGTGTGAAGGGCAGGTAGACTTGGTCTGTGTCTTAGTCCATAATCATTATTCACATAAATGTAGTTTATGCATTCAGCCTAATAAAATTGAACCTTTGCATTTAGATAATTGTTTTAGTGACAAATTAGTTTGAATCAAGTAGATGGTTTTCAGCTTGAAGTACTTCAAGTATAGTGGTACACTATGAAACCGTTACAATGCATGGTAGTCAAGAGGGTAAGTGTGTCATAGCATTTACAATTTTAAGATCTGCAGTCTTTTCTTAGGATAACTATGAAACTGTTTGACGTGGGTGTGCTGACACCTTCTATTCTGTATGGGTATAGGTTGCTGGTTGGTTGGGGTTTTTTGTGTCTTTCTGATGGCAACAAAAACATTCATATCCTTTTCCCCTTCCTCTGCAACCTGTTGGTATCCAGTCCAGGATACGTTTCCTGTCTGTCTTCATGCTCTGTTTGAAAATCAGTGGTTTAGTGTTCTTTGTCTCATTTTCCCCTCCCTGCCAGTGCAGGGTCTCTCCTACTTCCCCCGGCAGAGCCTTTTGCCTGCTCCCAGCCCGGGCAAGTACAAAACTTGCTGCTCACGGCAGGGCTTCTTCATATGTGGAGTTCCTCCCCCTCTTCACCCATCGCTTCATCCCCGTTCCATGTCTCCCAACTCGAGGACCACTGTGCCGTCTAAAATCCTCTTATCAGGACTTCGTCCTCCTTCCCACTCCTTCATGTGTCCTTGAGTACATCAGGCAGGCATTGCAACGGGAAGGGTCAGGATGTAATCAGTGAAGTAAGTTCATGATATCTTTCCCTCACAGTCTGCTTATGAGCTGCAAAGGCTTTTTGGTGGGGTGGGGAGATGGAGTTTTATTTCTCATGTTGAGATGAGTGAGGGCAAGGATCTTTCTAGTTTCCTTTGTTCTTTTTTGGTTTGTTCCTCAAAGTAAGTTGGAGGTGAGGCTGAACTGGTTTTGTTTCAGATTGTGGTATACACAAGTTTAGTGCAGTGATTTTTGAGCTGCATCGCTGGCAGTTTGGAGAGGGCTGGGTAGCACAAGGCTGTTGGGGCATATTGCTTCCAGCTGCTCTCTAAAATAAATTAAAAAAAAAAAAGCACCAGTGATCTTGCAATGGTTCCTTGAGATGTTTTGCTGGTTAAAGTTGCAACAGCTGATAGGCAGAGGGGAGCACCCTTCACACTTAACAGTGAAAGATGAAATCTGAGGGACTGGTTTAGGCTAGATTTAATGTAAACTACATTTCTAATATAGGACCCATGCCCTTTTGTGGAGTATGTGTGAGAACACAGCCATGTCTTTTTGTGTTTTGGCTTTTTCTGCCGAGCTTCTTACAGTACTAACTGAGGCCATGCTTGGGCACTGAACAGAAGTATTGTTTGAAGCTGGCAAATGCAGTTGCTGTCTTTCTTCCTTGCTGCATGGCACAAAAATCACTGAGGCCACACAGCAAATTGGATGAGGGAACTGAGCTGATGGGGAATTGCCCCACCACCTGCTTCTACACCCTGCCCTCTCCTCCTGCTGACCCCCTCCCCCCCGCCTTTTGGCTTTGTTTATGCTGTGTCATTATTTTCCAAGGTGATCACCTCATTTATTCAGGGCTGGTTTGGGGAG